AAGGTGTGAACGGCTTCATCTACTACGCACCGACCCTCTTCAGAAACATTGGCCAATCAGACGATATGTCGCTCATTCTCTCCGGCATCTTCAACGCGCTGCAGATCGTCGGTGTCTTCATTGCATTCATCCTCATCGACAGGGTTGGCCGCAGACCGCTCGCCATCTACGGCGGTATCGGCAATATGATCTGCTTCGTGGTCATCGCAGCCCTCGTCGGCACTTTCGACAGCAGGTGGGGCGAGAATACCTCCGCAGGCTGGGCGTGCGTCGCCATGGCCTTCCTCTTCATCATCATCTTTGGTGCCTCGTACTCGTCCCTCGGATGGGCTCTTCCTCCCGAGGTGTTCCCCAATGGCATGCGCTCCAAGGGCGTTGCGTTCTCGGTGGCTGTCAACTGGCTTTCCAACTTCACAGTGTACGTATAAACTACGTCTTCGTTAGAATCCGGCTTGAATGAACTGACATCGGTCACAGGGGCGTCGTTACTCCGCCGATGATTGAGAGCATTGGGTTCGGTACCTACGTTTTCTTCGCCTGTTTCTGTGGCTTGGCTGCAGTTTGGGCTTTCTTCCTTGTTCCTGAGGTGAGTTTCTATTCTGGCAACGCGATAATGAGACAGGTCTCGCTAACAGGATGTTGTAGACTATGGGCAAGACCCTTGAGCAGATGGACGAAGCGTTTGGTGACCTAAGTGGCCATGAGGAACAGGAGGTCATGAGAGAGATTTTGGGTAGTCAAGCAGTAACAAGCAAACAGGCGGCTGTTTAACCCCCCGAGAATATTGTATGACTTATCCTCGGGCCTGGGATCAGAACTAGATGGCAGACTGGCTCATCAAATCACAGTTGACTTGGAACTGAGAATATATCCCAACGTACGTGACTGAGAATTGTACGAAACGCATTAGTTACGTTTTATTGAATTACGCTCCTGTTTTATTGAATGCGCTCCTGTTCAATAACAACTCAAACCGAATAGGTCTTGAAACTTTTATCTGCCACAACGATCTCCTCACATCCCCGGGCCTCTGTAGGGAAACTTGTTGAACGACAATCACGCTAATTAAGAGAATTCCATTTTCATTCAGCACGAGGGTGTGATCGTTGTCGGACCTGAGTCTCACACCAGTGTTTCATGAGACATCAGAAAAGCATCCGACCTAAAGTCTTGTTCAAGAGAATCGTGTGAGCTTATATGTCTTGTTCGGCATCGTGACAATTAACCCATGCTCTCCTATCATCTAATTCTTTCAATTCGATGTGTTCAAATTCGATACAGTCCCGAACAATACAAGAATATGCGCTCGCATACGAGAAATGCCCCTCTATGTCGCTGAATACCCTCCATCAACAAATACAGTCTGCCCAGTGACCGCAGCGCTAGCGTCGCTCGCCAACCAGACCGCAACTCCCGCAAAGTCCTCCACTATCCCGTTCCGCCCGATCATTGTCCTCGATGCATGCTTCTCTGCCTTCTCCGAATCAGCCAGAACTCCCGCCGTCATCGGCGTCTCAACGACCCCCGGAGCAATAGCATTACAGAGAACGCCCTTCTGAGACCAAGCCTCCGCTTGCGACCTTGTGAGGGCAGCCAGTCCGCCCTTCGCGGCGCCGTAGGCCCCGCTGTTCCCAAAAGCACGAAAAGCCTGCTGGCTCACGACGTTGATAATACGCCCCCTTCCCCGCTCCGCCATGCCAGGCCCAAATGCCTGTCCCAGCGCAAATGGTGCCGTCAGGTTCGCGGCAATAGTGAAGTCCCATTCTCCCTGGGTGATGTGCGACAGCGGAGGTCGGTGGGAGACGCCAGCTGCGTTCACCAGAATGTCTGGTACGCCATGCGCCGACTTGATCCGTGAGATGGCGTGATTCAGGTCCGCTAGGTGAGCAAGATCCGCTGATATTGATGTCGTGGGAACACCAAGCTGCCTGAGCTGTTCGACGGTCGCGGCGAGAGGGGGTTCTCGACGGGCTACAAGTATGATCTTTGCGCCTGACTGGCCCAGTGCGAGGGCGATTTCTTTGCCGATGCCTGAGCTCCCGCCTGTTACAACTGCGGTCCTGCCGGCGAGACTGAATAGGCGGGTAAGATATGCGGGCAATTTTTGTAAGTTCTTGGCCATTTTCAGTCGCTTCTTTGGCACCTTCTTCCGAATCTGTCGAACGAAATGCTGAAGGACGGTTTTGAGGTGGAAATTCGAGTGAGGAGGGGTTCAAATGACGAGGCGTTGAAGAGTGATCGCAACAGCCGTTGTCGGCAGGAAAGTCATCGGGAAATGGCGGTTCGAGCCGGGCGATGTCGCATGCAGCTACCGGCGGCGCGTGAACCTAACGGCCTATTAGGGCGGCCTTATCACAGAATCTGGACTTTGCAGCCAAGCTTCGCGTGGCGTTGGGCCAGTCGTTATATCGCGAATGTCGCATTAGGCGACTGAATGTCATCAAAAGTTGGGGTAGAGTGGGTTGGCATGCAGGACTTACAGCTAGCCCAAAATGAGGCAGAAACGAACTTGGCTTCAACGCCCTGGCAGCAGATGCTACCCATGGTCTGGATAGTCCTGCGGGTAGCTTTGCAGATCGCATATTTATCATGATATCAATGATGATTTATGACAGAAACAAGCTGACAGTCAAGTCCTCGTGGTCTGTTGCTGGAATCGGAGGAACCCGCGATGGATGCCGTTGGTGGCGACTGACGAACCGTTTCCCATTAGCGCCATGCTTAATGCACGCGATAGCATTGGGCGGCATGCAGAATGCTGACGGCGTCAGGCGAGGTTTGCAAGCGCTCAGGTAGAAATGCGGGGGAGGACGGAGAAAGTCGCTCGCACCACAGATCTTTATGCGGTGATTGATACGATCTGGGCTCTGGGCTCATGTTTGCTGGCCGAGCAATTCTTCCGATGCCTTGGAATCAAGCCTTGCGAGAATGTCCAAGAGTGAGGATAGCAAAGAGCTGGCTCGGCCTCGAACAACATCATTTTCGACGTTTTGCGTAAGCTCCAGCAGAATGCTTCCCACGACGCGCATGAGTTCAATCTTGAAGGATCATGTTAGCTTGTCATATGCCTGAGGTTGACACTGCAACACACTCACGCCAGGCTCTCCATTGGTTTGAATGTACTGAAAAGGGACACTCGTCAGACTATGCACGACGTCCCTGGCAATATTGATCTGCTCCATAGCCAGTGTCAATGGATCATCATTGAGACCAATGAGACTCATCAGGCCATGCTCGATGCATTGCCGAAGTATCATGATCCTAACGCCATGAAACATGGCAACAAGCCGAGACTTCTGCGTCCAGAAACAAGATCGTTGGAAAGCAACATCATACTGAGCGTCCAGATTGACTGTGTCAGGCGAGTTAAGCCAAGGAGGCAAGTCGTCTAAAAGACTCATGACTTCGATGTACATGTTGGTCATTGCTTCCTTCTCAGTGTCTGATGTCGTTTCTGCTGTCGAGCTGTTGAGAGGGGTGTTTTGTCTCTTCGATCTGATTGCCAGAAGTAGACGACCGGCTGATGCCCAGCAGCGTTGGATCAAGTGGAAGCCCACCATAAGGGTGTCCTCAAACGAATCCGGCACATTCCTCATGCTCGGATCAAGCAGAGGAACTCTCGCCGGGTCGCTTTCCTGAATGGTCATGGTTGAGTCGAATAAGGGCTCGTGCAAGGTGACGTGCCGATTTGCCAGAGAAATGGCAGCTTTGTCGCAAACATAGAGCATCCAGAAATTGTTTCTTAGAAGCGTGGATTCCAAAGGCTCGCACTTTGACAGAACATGCTCGTCGTGAAGTCGAATATGTTGAGCCAGCAGACCGCCTTGGCTTAGAACATGCCACGCCAAGGGCGTCTTGCCAGCTGAATGTTGGAGTGCTGCCGACTGGAAAAGGCGAATAGCCAAAGAGCTCGAATCGGGATATTGTGTATCGTAATCTTCATACACCTTAATCATTCTCCTTGATGCCTGTAGAAAAGGTGTCGCAGCCAGATAGCGGTATGCCAAGATTGAGTCTGGATAGATAGAAGCAACGGCGGCGCACAATGCAGTGAGTAGAGTGAATGGTCTCGTGACAGCAACCCTTTCTTTGTCGGCACCCTCATCGAATACAATGTCATCAACATATGACGCGGATCCAGGAATTGGGAAGTAAGCAGCAGCCATGGTTCGATGAGTCGGAACATGGCAAATTGGGCACACTGGGAACATATGCAGTACATAGAGAGAGATGCACTCGTCGACGACTTGTCTTATAGTTGGTGATGGCAGTAATCCAAATATTGCTGAGAAGAGGTCGCCTCGTATTCTTGAAGGTGGAGTTGCTGAGTCTATCATTGAGTAGACAGAAGTAGCTGTACCGACTGGCTCGCAATGAGTTGTTGATGTAACTTGAGGTCTGCCATTGTCACCGCTTCTTGTCTGCGGTGAACGAGAGGTCCTCTGCCTGCTAGGCGGCGGTTCTTGGGCCTTTGCACGAGGCGTCTTCGGGCCTCTCTTTCGAGGGATCACCTTGAAGGTGCAGTCTAAATTTGATATGCTGCAGTTTGCGCATGGCTGAGTTGCATCGCACTATCGCATGTCAGGAATAAGCAACGATCGGGTCTCAACTGAGGCGTGCTCAGGTCTATGAAGCGGGCGAGTGAAACAAACTTACTTTCATCTTTCGTTGCCGACATGCATCACACGCTCTTTTAGACAGTGTAGAACTCGGTACGGGCATTGCGACGCTGGTGATGGATGCGAGTAGGTGTAGCAATTTCGCCGCGGAGAAATTCAAAGCGGGGGTATTCGGAGTTGAAGGTCGGAGAATATGTCACCACAACGGGCGGGATTTGTTCATGCGAGCTACGGTCTAAGTGCATTTACGAACTTTATGCAACTAACACCACCATCGCGGGATGTCGACTGTTATGAAAATAAGACTTAGATACACTCAGAGTCCCCGTCACTTTTAAGGGGTTCATCGTGAAAAGTGATGAATTGCTTGGAATTCCTCTATCAAAGACCTTGCCACCTAAAGTCTTCCTCAAGTTCAATTTCAGCGCTCAGCGCTTCGTCTTCGGGGTCGGCACTCTTGGAAATGATGACACGAAATGTGCCCTTCTCAGCCAGCCACTGCTCCAACTCTTCGTTCCAATATGACAAAGCATACTTGTCAAGAGTCACCTTGGTAGTGAAGATCTCTCCTTTCGCAACCCAGACTTTAGTAAAGCCCTTCAACTCTTTCTGAGGACGGTCAAACGTCGTCTCGATGTCTTGAATGTATATTTGAACGGTCTCTGAGCCATCTCGAAGTCCAGCATTGCGCACGTCAATGGTAACCTCAAATGACATCGCACTGCCATTATCAAACCGTACCCTCTTCGGCACCTGCAGGTTGGAATATTCGAAAGTTGTATATGACAAGCCATGACCGAAGTAGAAAAGCGGGCTCGTCTTGACCTTCTCATAGTATCGGTAACCGATGAAAACGCCCTCGCCGTACATGATCTCCCTCTGGCCCTTTCCAAATGTCAAGAAAGCTGGCGTGTCCTCAATACGTTTTGGAAAGGTCACCGACAGACGGCCGCTGGGGCTGACCTTACCAAACAGAACGTCGGCCATGGCATTTCCTGTCTCCTGGCCGCCAAACCAGGCGTGTACAAGAGTTGCAACTTTTTCGATCCAGGGCATAGCTATGGGACATCCGGACTGAGTTACAATAATCTGCGAATACCACGTTAGGGATCGAGTCCACAGTCGCGGAGATTAACACACTTACAGTGCTGGGGTTTGCCGCAACAACCCGCTCAATCAATTCATCGATCCCCGGCGGCAAGTCAAGAGACTTCCGATCAACGTCCTCACTCTCATAGTCCGCGTTTAGTCCAGCTATCAAGATGGGTATGTCGACGGACTTTGCCAGTCTCATAGCTTCATCCAAAGCCTGCTCCTTATCAATCCTCTCACAGCAGCCAATCCTCAATCCACCTGCACTGAGAGCACCCACCCCAGGAATGGCGGCTTCGTTTCGAAGCACCACGCAGACTTCATAAGTCTTTCCGACCTCAACTTCAACGTCCGCAGTCAGTTCCATGCTTGCTTGGTTGAACATAGGTGTATGCATTGTCTTCTTGGGTTGGCTGGTGAAAAGATCGATCACCTGCTTTCCGTCGACATCGAGTTTTCCCTTTCCGATAACGCAAAGTCCGAATTGGACTTTTGCCGTCTTTGTGGCAGTCAAGCACGTCTTCACACGCAGCCAATACGCGCTGGGGACGCCCTTTGGAAGACTGTCGGCGAAGTACATCTGCGCCTGCGTCGTCGTTGTAGTGTACAGAGGCGTTGCATCTGGGTTTTCTTCAAAGTTCTCTTCAAACCAATCAAGGATGTAACCACGCTGATTTGTACCAGGAACAGTCACATTGGACGACAGAAGAGGGGTGAAGAGATGGCCTGCGATCGATTAGCATAAGCATGATACCTCAAGCTGGCATCACTTACCATGGCATCCTATAGCTGTCTTCACTCTTCCCTCCCCCACGATGTCGACAATAGCATCCAACGGTGTACTGACATAGTACGGTACCAAGTCCGCTGATCCACCACCACTTACAGCAGGCAACCGAACAGCAGGTCCAATTAGACCAAAGGTCTGTTCGGAAGACGGATTGAGAGGCAGCACGGACCGTTCGTTCTTCAAAAGAACTATCGAGTTGCTCGCAACTTTCCTGCAGACCTGCCGCTTCTCTTCAGTATCACCTTGCGTACCCTCGTCGCGCCGATGCTTCAATGCGGGCTGAACCCTGTTGATCAGGTTCAACAAGCTTCGGACTCGCGCACCAATGGTTGCCTCCTTGACCTTGGGGCACAAGACAGCCCACATGAGCAATTCGTCCCTCCACCTTGCTGGCCCGGGCATCTCAAGATCAAGCCCGGCATTCACAGCCTCAGAGGTGCTGTACGTCCCGAACCAGTCACTCATGATAAGTCCATCCCATCCCCACTCCTTGCGAAGGATGTCCCCCAGAGCCATGGATCCTCGCTCGCATGAGTACCGTTAATCCTATGGTACGCCGTCATGAAGCACCACGGGTTCGCGTTTTTGACGGTAATCTGGAAGGGTAGGAGATGCATCTCACGCATCGTTCGCTCCGAAACTCTGATTGAGTCTTCAATAGACATAGTAGACTGGTCATGGGCGGCATAGTGCTTGATGCTAATCCCCACACCGTTTGTCTGCACGCCGCTGATGTATGCAGACGCCAAGGTGCCGCTCAGGAATGGGTCCTCAGCGAAAGCTTCAAAGCTACGACCGATGAGCGGAGACCTTTGTAGACAGACAGTAGGGGCGAGGATAACATGACAGCCCTTCTCTTTGGCTTCAGCTGCGAGCATCTCGCCCACGGAATGCATCAGTTCGGTGTCAAAGGTAGCGCCCATGGCCGTGGCTGAAGGCAACAGACACCCCGGAGGCTTGATAGGTCAGCGACGATGAAAGCTTCAGGTAGAATCCCACGTACTCCATTGAAGAAAGCCGTTCCTCGAACGCCATGTGGCCCGTCGGAGGTCTGAAAAGGTCAGCAATGCCCACATATTACTGGTGGCGCCATACTGTGGTACTTGGAATTTTGAGGCGGTCAATCGCATGTGTCGTCCAGGTGTCTTTGCCCGCGAGAAGTTTATCTTCTCCTCGAGGGTAAGATTCATAATGGTACGTGGCACGTTGATCAGAGCTCCCGACATACTGACTGACAGTCGAGCGGTCAATTCGGTTCAGACCGATCAAGCAGCTCTTGCAGCAAGGGCTTTGGCATTTCCAAAAGGCTCTAGTAATGTGTTCAGACTATATACTTGTAGTCTTCTCAGATTCTATCAATGAATTTTCCCCGTGGAGAAATTGTGGTATGCGTCAGCCAAAGCATCCACAATTTCTCCGCGGCGGTTTGCCATGGCAATCACAAGTTTGACCAAGATCACCCATGAAAGCACGAATGAGCCGCTCGTGCATCATTCATTCGGTAATCTCTGATTTTGTACACAACATGAAACGTCAATAACTCAATGTCCCGCACTGAACCCAACCTCCTCCGCAAGATGACTGACGTCCGTCGATCCGTTCTTTGCCCTTGATCAAACCTAGGGAATGCACCGGAGCGTCACAAACTGGCTCTTCGGGGTGACCCACCAGACCCAAGAAAAGCCCCAGACGAATCCGATGGTCTTTCCAATTTTCCCGCTCAGCGCGTGATATACCCTTGGGCAATACGTTTGGAGATAGTGCAGGAACAACGTCTCGAAGGCGATGATAACGAAGTTCGCCACCCACGCGAAGACCTCCCACCAAAAGCCGCACGTAATACCGGCCAGATAATCCGTGTAAGCGTGGAAGAAACCGCTGATGGTAAAAACAAGGCAGTTCAGCAGCCAGCGCTTCTTGCCCATGAAGGGACCCCTGCCGAGCCCGACGGCCTGCATCATCATCTCTCCAGTGCCGCAGACAGTGCGGTAAATGAGGCGGTCAAAGTACTTGCTCCAAAACCGGCGGATGTTCCATGCTTGGCGGATGTCTCCGAACATAGGGGGCCATTCCTCGGGTTCGTCGATTCCAAGGCCGACAAAGAATAAAGCGCACAACAAGTGAGCTCGGTTGTACCAGTTGTAGGCTGCCCACATAGATTCGAAGGCGAAGTAGACACGAACCCAAAACTCGCGGGGCTCGATATGGTCCCCCCTAAGGAAGCGACGGATTATTGCCGACTTGTGGTCCTCTATATCCGTCCAGACGAAGCCGAGATATCTGTCGATGACAATGTCCTTGGCGTTGTCTACAATGATGATGAGGAGTATTCGACATACCATTTCCAACATCCACCGAAGACGATGATTTCTCCATATCTTCAAGGCGTGAGTGCTGAATCTCTTCCAAAGCTCTACGGCGACTTGCTTGTTCGCCGTATCGGTGACTGGGACAACCTCGTTGTCTTTTTTGCCGTTCTCGGTGGTGGCCTTCTGGGCTTTTCTTTCGGCCAGTTCCTTTCTCTTCTCGATTACAGCCGATGGGACCTGTCTTTCCTTGTCTTGGTCTTTTATGAGATGGTATACAGGGGCTTGCCGAGCGGTATTGATAAAACGTCCGTTCCATGCAATCTTATAAGTGGCGCGGGCACGCTGAGGCCATGGGAGTCTCTTCTGCTCCTCGGTGAGAACGAATCCTTCGCGAAGAACCATGACTACCGCGCCCATGCATTGGATGATGATGCCCTTGAGTAAAGTGTCCTTCACGGCATAGTTCATGTTGATTCCGCTGATGTATCGCAAAATCTCGATGCCTGTGGCGCAGAAGGCGAGCACAGAGGGTAAGCGGTACTTCTCCTTGCAATTGACGGCTACGACACCGCACGTCAAACCAACGAGGTAGACTAATGCTGGCCAAACCCAAGCATGCCAGCCTGTGTAATTTGTCGCGGTAGGCAGCCTATATGACCTTTGTGACATATTTGCGGCATGTTGTCCCATTAACATCCGTTGCACTTCATCGTGGGTGTAGTTGGAGGCTTTCGAAGTGATGCTCTTGGCGATCGAAGTAATATTCTCGACGATGGACTCCATGCCGCCGGTATGGTTAAGGGCTGTCGAAGTCACATTCTCGACAATGGACTCCATGTCGTCGGTTGATTCTTCTTCGACTCGAACGTCTGTGTTAGTGCATAGATCCAACTGAAAGACTACAATCGGTAGTTTGCTTCCCACACGCCTTACCCGGTGAACGAAAGTCGAAAAAGCAAACTTCTTGGGATGCAGGTAGCAAAGCTCGAGTGTTGTGTGCAGCGAGTCGACTTGGACTCTTATAATAGTCCATCTCCGTTCAGTTCAGCCATCACTGTGCCTTGTCTATAAAATTGAACTTTGCATTCATGTAGGTACACCCCCATCCACCAGTTCCCCTAACGCCCCCTAGCCCGCGAGAGTTTGACCCAAAGACCATGTCTTCAAGCCCATGCCTAACTACTCCTCAACACGACACAGTCTTCCATTCTCATGAGGCAATCCATCGGCAGTCTTAATTGTCCAAAACTCGCTGCCCACTGCAGTTGCAGCATAAAACACATCTTCAGGATCCCATTTCTTTTTCAGCTCAAGCAAGCGAGGGTATTTCTCGTCACCGTAGAAAGATTGCTGAAAGTTTGGCTCCATGCGATCTGACTCCGCCAGGTAAGAGCCAGCACCTGGGGAGACATCTCTCCAACGCTGCATATCTCCGAAGGTAAACCCATTTCTCGCTTCCAAGATTTGATCGGCAGTGGCATTCACAGACCACCGCACTGACTGGAGAGCGAACAAAATGTTTTCCCGCCAGGCAGGGTTCACCGCGTTGTCTGGATTATCCGGACTCGTAGCTTTAATGTTAAATCCCACGAAGACGTGGTTTGCTTCCAGAGACGTCCGTATGGCGTCGAAGGTCGCTTGTCTCAGATCTTCCGACTCGAAATTCTTTCTTGGGAAAAGACGAGAGCCGCTCTGCACATTAACCTTCTCGACGACTTCTAGCGGGAAGAAGTCCTTCCAAGCAGGGTAGAAAGAGGCGTATTCGGTAATGTTGGGATCAAAGTCAATCCCCAGCTCCCGAAGCTCGGTGAACCATGGGTTCAGCAAAGATTCCACAACCTCTGCGGTCTTATTGGGGGCGAAGAAGGGTGTCATTTGGAACAAGAAATTCCCAGGACTGGGGTTGTTTGGAAGCATAATGAAATATGAATATGTTCCGTTCTCGGCATTGTCGATGAAATGGTCGAAATAGCTTCGCACACCTGACCAGAAGGTATCATTCGAAAGACCATCTGCTGTTGAGAACTTGAATCCCGCTGCTGTCGTCGGAACATCAGGAAACGCCTTGACCGTGACGGACGTGGCAATTCCAAAGGTTGAGCCGCCACCTCCACGGAGTGCCCAAAACAAGTCCGAATTTTGCGTGTGATCTGCGGTAATAAAACTGCCATCGGCAGTTACGACCTCAAAGGCAAGAGCTTGGTCTGCACCGGTGCCGTAGATGGAGCTTAGGGGAGAATGACCACCCCCCTGGATGTACCCTCCCATCACGCCAACAGTCTGCAATGAAGGCGTCAGCGTCTAAGCTTCAAAGTTCTTGATCGCAGTGTAGAAACTTACCTGCCCTTCTCCTCCCACGACAACCTTTCCGTGCTCATGGGCGATCCGATAGATCTCAAAGGCTTGCACGCCTGTGCCGCACTTGAACGCTGGACCGGAGTACCCCTCCACCTCATCGACTATCTCTGGAATGTACTCCACGTCTTTCAAGTAATGCGTCCAGATGCTCAAAGACTGGCCTCCGCCCGACTTTCCTGAGAAATCATGTCCCGTGTTCTTTACCACGAGTCGAATACCCATCTCTTTGGCGAACTTTACTCCCTCCTGAATGTGCTCGGGCGTGGACGCATTGATGACATACCAAGGGAAGCCGCCCATTGTGCAGTTTCCAGAGTCATAGATGTTCGGGGGCAGGCACGTCAGACCTTGGTAAACGGGCGAGAACATCTCGATGGGGTCATCAAGGTGGGTGTACGAATTGGTCCAGTTTGCAGACATGGTCGCACACCGAGCCGCATCGTACTCCAATCCGGGATAACATGCTGCAGCTTGAGGACGGGGTTTGAGCAGGCGATTACCCACCCTGCCATTCAATTCTGCCCATGCCTCATCAGAGGGCCAGGCGTTGTCGCCAGGGTAGACTTTGCAGCGCCCCTCAGCGGAAATGATCCCTGCAATTCCCAGAAGGAAGACAGCTGGCAGTTTCATCGTCCTGGTCGTCATGATTGATGTTTCTGCGATGCTGAGGAAAAGCTTGAGTAAAGTTCTGGGGGATAGCTGTGACTATTTATTGACAATAGTTTCCGCCGTGCCTTCATCTTTCGTGAGCGATGAACCCCCTGGGGTCGTACTGAAGATGCCATCCCCTCCACTTAGATGGCGATCTTCCCCTAGAGGAGAGAATTTCAGTAGCATGTCAGCGTTGCATATGGGGCCATCACCCCGGGCTTCTTTAGGCTCATTCGCTCCCTCGCACTTGATATATGCTTAATGAAAAGCCGGCAGACTTTATCGCCCTAGCTTACCGCCCCTTGCTGGCAAAATTCTTTTCGGGTTAACACGAGGAGGGGTCGCTGGCGATCAGCAGAAGAATAAGCTGAGACCATTCTTCGGCTTTTTCTACTCTTCGCGCTCTGCTTGCTTACACCTACACGATAATGCGAGTATCAACATTTCCCAAAACATTGAGATTAAGCCACGGCGATCTTCTAGACTCGTACAATTCCATCCCCTTTTTTCCATAGTATCAAGTCACTGTCCCTCTTGCAATGTTTTACATCCGCCATCAGTGACCTCCACCTACAACGGACACATTCCCACAGCCTCTAAGCTACGCGTTGAAGCTGTAGTTGTATCAATCCTCGCGAAAACAACCATTTGCTTTAATAGTCAGGTCCCTATGATATCTTGTCAAGCTACAGTACATAGGTGGTTGTTGTCTCTATAAATTGTAGATGATTGCACTTTGGTCTCCACACTGCAGGATAACGTGGTAATTGTGGGTATTGGAACTTATTTGACTTATTAAACCAATGATCAGATCCTCACTTGCATGCGTTCAATCTTCTCCGAGAGTGTTTTCACAATATTCAACTACTATCTTCAAGCAAGTGAAAAAACCATCATTATATGAAACCAGCTTCAAGGACTTATCGGTCATGATAGAAGCTATGGCTACGCACTGCGGCGTTGTATTGCTGAATCAAGTGACTGAAGTTATGGACTGTTCCCATGACAAGCACTTGCCGCGCGATCAAGTCGCCTCACCCCGGAGATAATCCATCTCTTAGATCTGGGACACAAACAATAGATTGAAGCAAGATGTGTCATGAGTCCGCATCTGCCTTTCCTGGCAATAATCAACCAACCACGATGCTTGCAAGCCTTTCGTCCCGTCTGATTCCGACCGGACCTTTTCCTCTGCCTTACCATTCGGATCTTCACCTGCATACGCGTATCGACGTGCCATCCGTCGTATTGACTACGAAGAGAGACGGGGGCTCCCCGCATTATGCGCGGCCAAAATCACCGGCCCATGTTGTCAATTCAACTCATCTGATAAGAAACAGAAGCTTTCAGGTTCTTCGATTCACTCCCTTTCGCGTTTCCATTGGTCCAAGTCAGATCAGTGTGACCTCCTCGTCCCTGGTCTCTGGAGAAAGCCTCGCTTGACATCTCCCCGAGGCCGATCCCTCACCGAAATCCTGGGCCATGGTACGAACTTCGTGCTCATTCGCACCGAATACGACATCAAGTGACACTTTATTACCTCAAAAATGCGTAAGTTGCATGAGCTATACTGCAAGGAACCCCGACTGCCGAGTTACCCCGGGTTTGACCATTCCTAATACACAGCAAGATCGCGCCCCCAAAGAAATGAAGATAGATCAGGTCTATTGCAATGACTCGGGGTTTTCTCTCCCGAGTCTATGGTGATATCTATGCCCTCTTCAGTATATAAAGCCCGGGAAATTCTGGATGCACGTAATCTTGTCACAATGTCCTGCACTTGCCATCGATCGTCTGTTGCATTCTTCACCAACTTCTTTGCGGAGTCATTCAGCTTGACTTGATCCATTGAAAAGGCCATGCATCGGCTGCTTATGTTGGTGCTCGCCACCTCTATGCCATATCTACCCCTCTCTTTAGCTTTACTGTCCGAATTCGATAACCCTTCCACAGAGTTCCGCCCAAAGTTCCGATACTGGTATGTACCTTTTCGGTCTCATTTTTCAGAAACGCTTCTTACCTTTGGTAGGCTCCCTGATGCCTCAGTTCCTCGTCAGTCTGCCATTGACGATGTCAACCATCTTGCTGAAGTTGGAGCTGGAGGCCTCGAGTTCCTCCCGTTCTACAACTACGATTTGGGCCCGGCATTGACTGACTGGTCAATTTACGGATTCGGCACAGAAGCTTTCACAGGGGTACTGGCGGCGGCTTTGAATGCAACTGCAGTCCATGGTCTGAAACTTGATCTAACCCTTGGTGCTAATCAAGGTGCCGGTATTCCCTCTGTGGTCGAGACCGTGGGCCTCGCCAAGGAGCTCGTGTATGGGAATATTACGGTTACGTCGGGGAAGCTCTCCTCAGGGTCAGTGCCAACGCCTGACGTACAGTACAACATGCTCACCGGCTTCATGAATACACCAGAGCCGTGGGGCGCCAACAACCTTGTGGCGGTCGTGGCCGGGAAGATCGTCACCGAAGTCCACTTAGCGGAATACTTCTACATGTCTATTCTCGAGGAGGATACGTTGGTTGACCTGACCAACGTCACCAATCAGGGCACGCTCTCGTGGATTCCCTCGGAAGGAGATTGGACCTGGATCGTTTTCGGTATCTACGAGCGTTACACAAACCAGAGAAGCTGTGTCTCCATCCCGCATGCTACGACGGCCCTGGGTAACGGCTCTTGGATAGTTGATCACTGGAGTTTCGAGGGGCCAAAAAGATGACAGACTTCTGGGACCAACACATCCTATCAGATGATAAGGTAGCTTCCCTCGTCAAGGAGGCTGGCGAATACGGTTCGTAACTCCTTGCTGGCCTCAAGCCCAATGCTGACTCGTATCTAGTCTGAGAAGACAGTATGGAGATGCAGGCTGCTTTGCCGTGGACCGATGATCTAGCCTCTCGTTTTGAGTCCTTGAATGGTTACAGCATCACCAAGTACCTCCCCATTCTCTTTCATGCCACAAACGCATGGGGTGGGTACCTGCCGCCGTACAATGTCACTTACACTCTGGGCGAATACGCTACTGATGGCGGGCCTTACGTGCAAGACTACAAGTCTGCCCTTGGTCAGGGCTATCTGGAGTATTTGGAGCACTACAACACCTGGGCCTCGACCAAAGGCTTGAAGCTCTCCACGCAGCCCGCATACAATATGCCTGTCGATATGGTAAGGGCTTGTTCTTAATTTTGCCTTCTTTTCCTGTTGCAAAAGGTCGTATGCTGACATGAAGTTGTCCAGATTCAAGCAGTAGCTCATGTCCAAGTCCAAGAATTGGAGTCTTTGGGTTTCTCCGAAAGCATCAACGAGTACCGTCAATTCACCGGAGCAGCTCATCTAGCTGGCCGCAACGTCATCTCAACTGAGCTCGGAGCAGTTCTTGGAAGTACCTACAAGCAGACCATCCCCAATCTAAAAGCCCTCCTTGATGGTTCATTCGCTGCCGGTGTCAACAACGTCGTTCTACATGGCTACGCATATAGTGGGCCGTACCCTGGGACAACATGGCCGGGCTACACTCCCTTCCAGTACGAACATTCGGATATGTGGGGTCCTCGACAGCCGGCTTGGAGACATTTCAACGACCTCATGATATATTCTGCAAGGAATTCAATGATCATGCGGCGAGGCGTTCCAAAAGTTGATCTTGCTTTCTATTACTTTGAGGTTCCATTCAAGTTTGGCGTTAGTGTGTACAACAAGAGCGATCTGAATGAATTTGGTAAGATCAAGCTCTCTGTAGAAGTACTGTTCACTGACAGTTCACAGGATACACGTTTGAGTATCTGGGCCCCAGTAACCTCGTGTCTGACCACGCCAAAGTTGTCGATGGAGTTCTTGCGCCAGAGGGACCCGGATACACAGCCTTGATAATTTACAGCCAGTCACAAATCACGCCAAATGCATCTTCGGCACTTGTCGGCTTCGCTCAAAGTGGTCTGCCGATCTACATCGTAGGAACTCTTCCGAATGTCACCATCGGGTTCAACGGTCAGGAAGAAGTATCGTCCAGCATGGACGAAGTCCTGACCTACGATTCTGTTCGTTTTGTTAGCATGGAGGCATTTTCTCCGTCTCTGCTCATTGCCGACGGCGTTCTGCCGCGTGCCAATACACATGGAAACTCTAATGCGTCCAATCTCTACACGTTTTGGACATCAGACACCTCATCCCAGAGCGATTACGTCTATCTATACAACACCGGCGAAGATGGCACTTTTGACATCTCGCTTTCCGCGCGCCCAAATACAGCCCCATCCATTCTCGACGCTTGGACTGGAAAGAGAGCCGCTCTGGCTGTGTACCGGAGCACCTCTACAGGCATCGCGACGAGGGTCGGGCTGAAAGCACGCCAAACGCTCATACTTGAACTCTCGGTATCCAATGAAAACAACCCCTTCGTCATTGAATACTCACCAAACGTCGAATCGATCCACAGTTTGTCGTCGAAAAACCTTGACATATGGCTCCATGGATCTGACGAGGCATGGCTGAAATTGAGTAACGGAACCCAGATTACTCTCCCTCCTGCGGCCAGCCCATCTCAAGCTGTCGTTAGTCTGAGCCCTTGGCATCTTATCGTGGACTCATACGGCCCTTCCACCGACAATGACACCTTGGAAGGCGAAGTTACTACTATTGATGTTGGTCAGTTGGACAGTCTGAGGCTTTGGACAAACATCTCCGGCATTGAGCACCTTAGCGGGGTCGGCACATACTCCACCAGTTTTGAATGGGTTTTCGACGACCAGGCAGCCGTGACCATCAACTTTGGAACCGTATTGAATACCTTGAGAGCTTGGGTCAATGGGAAGCAGCTTGCGCCGGTTGACCCGACAGACCCCGTTGCTGATATTTCGCCTTTCATCATTACAGGCAACAACACACTGAGAGATGAAGTGACAACAACCCTGTTCAACTCAGTCAAAGCAAACGTAGACCAAGTCTTTAGCATCGGCTTTGGTCCGCAAACACCAACGTACTACACTGAGGCGGCTTGGGAGAAGTTTGGTCTCATAGAACCTGTAGAGTTTCGGTCTTTCAGGACCTTGACTGTTCCATTGAAATAACTACTGCACTATATCCTACATTGAAATATACTACTGCACTGTGTTCTAGTCAGGACCTGGACCATTCCATCGAAATAAACTACTACACTGTCCCGGGTGTGATCCTTGCTATTGACTCGTTGGATCACCTCCTGTCGAACCTGTCGAACCTGTCGAACCCTTCCTGTCTCTTCCCTTATGTACAATCTTTTCTGTCCAATCTCGTCAGTTAACCTTCCTGCCGAGATACTGGGTTGAGCCTTACAGGTGTATTTAACTCACGTCTCCATCACTCTGGTGCGATAGCCCATCCTTCAGCCGACAATCGACTCAAGTAGAAGAACCGAAGTCAGGTCCATTTAAGGGCGGATCAGAGTCGAGATTTCCCAATTCGGGATACAGAGGCGACAGAGGCTGATAGTTGGGTGGGCTCGAACCGCCGGATCCCGACATCCCATTCAATTGCGTATTCTGCAATGCAGGCATTTGGTTGGGGCGTGTTCTCAAAGGCAGATGATTGGGGGTATCCATGTTCGAGTGAGGAATCTGCGGCATGGGTACTTGTTGCGGCACTGTTCCCGAAGGCTGAGGGACAGGAGTATTCATGTTTGGTGCATGATTCTGTGGCATGGCCGTCTGTTGCGGTGCTCCTGGCTGAGGCTGCAGCCTAGGGGAATCCATCCGCACCCAACTAACGACATTTCTGCGTCTGTGTACGGGTCCTTTTGGACACTGGAGTTCGACGTTGATCCGAGATGGGCGCATGCGAAGAGTTCCCTCGAAGTAACCGCGAATGACGTTGAACTCTCTGTTATTCACACCCTCGACATAGTGTCCATAGTACTTTGCGCGGCCTATCTCGGTCCGGACAAATGACCAGGAAAGGCGCCTTTTAGCTTCCTCTGGCGTTTGTCCTCTGTAGCCCCAGAGATTGTAAACGTCTGGGACGGACAAACGCGTACCAATGAAGACCTTCTTCAAGTTATTGTTGGCTGGCATGATGGTTGATGGCGTATGCGTAAGACTGTTACAAGTGGTCGTGTCTCAGTCTGGACCCTGGGGTTTTCAACATAGTCTTGAACATGGTTGAGACAAGTTAATGGATAGTGCACATTTCTAAACAAGTTCTTTATAGGGCGGGTTGAAAACTCTGTTCGCCTCTCTCGCGACCCATGCGACCCATCTCCACAAGTTCGCCTAGCCCTGCTGTTTAAACTTAAAGACAGACCGGCTAGTGAGGCTTCAGGACTTCAAGGTAGAACCGCTTGAGCTCGGGTTGGCTGCCTGGCTCCAGGTTTTGGCATCGTCAGGCCTTCTATACGGCAGGTGTGTATGATCTTTGCGCATATGTATGAGCCCGTTCCATGGTTCCGCCTTAGCAGATTGGTCGAGCCAACGATCCATCGGGTGGCTTAATGACGACTTCTTCGGCTCTTGGACTCCCTTTTCTAAGCAGGCGTTCGTATTCTGCTGGTTTGCTTGCATTCTGAGGCGCATGTTAGTACGCACCAGAGTCGAAGACTGGAGCTGGACACTAACCTGGCTATTATCAGGCTTGTCTCGATGATGCTCTGGCTAGGCTTGGTTTAATGGCGTGATGGTTGTTATCTGTTTGTAATTGAGCAACTGCTCAAAACTCTGGAGCATTTCCGATCTTTATGCTCCAGAATGTATTTGGCCCCAAACCGAGGTATCAATGGACTGGGCTTGTTTGGGATCATGTTATTTGGGGCCAATTTTTGCTGGGGCCGGTAAATGTGGCATTGTGAGAGCGTGGGGCCAATTATTATTTTGACTGCCATTCACCTCATACTTGGGGTCAGTTTCCAGTCTAAACTTCTTGCTGATTTCGGATCGACCTCTCTCAAGATTTCAGTAATATTGGTCTTACATCCTGCATTTCAACATGACGTTGGTGGATCTGATCGCCACTGGCATATTGTCGGCCAAGCAAAGTTTTCTGCCTGACCTGTTCCAACGGGACAAAACATGTCAGCAGATATTTATGATCATAAGTCCAAACTACGAATTTCTATCATTAGTAAAAGTGTAGCACTTGCCTGCCTTTTTGTTCGAATTAGGTTCAGAAATAGTGTGAAGCTTGGAGAGCCAAAGACATATTCCTCTTGAAGGGCTAAACTCTTAGACTCGCTCCCTTCCCTTCTAGAAACTTCAATCGACAGTTGATGTCATGGTCACCCAAGACACATTCCGCAAGGCCATTGGCGCAGTCCTTTTAACTCTGTCACTGCGCATCTCCTCAGGCAAGCCGTCCATAGCGACTCGTTATAAAACAACCACGATATCCCACATCCAAGAGCTCGCCATGCATCTAAGAAAGTGTTTTCCCCACTTGTATCGCTGCTCGAACTTCTTCATAACTGTAGGGTTTGTGAATCTGTTGCTGAGGATGTATCGTGACCTGGCTGTAGCAAGCCGCTCGAAAACGTCAGAAAGAGGCGTCAGACATCCGACAAGAACTATTATGCAAGCAACCTTAACAGTCACTATTGTATTGAAAGCTTTGCTCTCCGAGATGTCAATACCGCATCCAGAATGTGTTTGTGAGATTGGAGGAAGGTAGGTAGGCCGAGATAGAAAGCAGCAACTTTTGGGTAAGAGCTACAGAGCTAATAAAAACCAAAATCGCGGTTTTAGCAATTTCTCAAAGCCACATCTCTTTTTCTTCCATTTTCAGTCGCAAAAGCTCGACATACCAGCGATCGCAGCCAGCCACAAAATCGGTGAGAGTAAATGAGACGTGGCACGGAAACGCCGGACTTTGATGCTAGCGGTGAAGGCCCCCCAAAACCCCGAGCCAATCATGTCTCAGATTACTAATGATTTCTCGAAGATTCGCCCCGACTTCACCGAATAGCGCACGTTGCTGACCTGACGACTCCGCCCTTCACGTTGGTTCGGCACCTTCAATCGCGGGGGAACCACTACCGTTGTTGGCATCGCTGAGTCTCAGCCCTACGAAAGGAAAGCACGCAATTCGTTTTCATACATCATCATGAGCGGATCAAGTCTGACGTCGGCCACGGCGTTCTCGCCGTCGCTGGAGGCCATCAAGTTGGCCGCCAGCATGTACAATGCTGCGCGGGAGGGCAACAAGACGGTGCTGAAGGAGGCTCTCGAGGACGGGCTTCCGCCCAACTTGACGAATGAGAAGGGAGACACCTTGGTGAGCTTCCCCGAACGCCATGCTCGGCAGTTTGCAGCTTCACTGCCGGGGGCTTCGGCACATGGAAAGCACGGATGGCGGTAGCTAACATGCGTTCCAGTTGATGTTGGCGGCATACTACGGTCACGCAGACACGGTGAAGCTCCTGATTCAACATGGAGCGGACCCTAACAGGTTGAACGACAAGCGTCAGAGCCCTATCGCGGGTGCCGTCTTCAAAGGCTTAGATGCAGTGATTGAGGTAAGTGAGAACGTCGGGGCGATTGCCTGGGATTCACCCATCGTGACGCATCAAAGAAATGTTGGTGCCACGGATACCGGAGCTTGACGGCTGACGAATTCGGAATAGGTCCTCTTGGATGGCGGTGCTGATCCGGACTACGGCAAGCCTTCTGCCATGCAGTGTCTGTCCATGTTCAACGCGGAGGCGAAGTGGAAGGACAAGTTCGAGTCGGCGCCAGGCCGAGGCAAGGCGAAGGCCGTCCCGCAGGACGGCGCCGAGGAGCGTGCGCCTGAGAGATTCAAGGCATGAACGCCGGTGGGAGAGAGATTAAATCCTCCGCATTTTTGATCACTGACTCATGGAAACTTTGTGACGGATATGGCTTTTCGGGATTCATCGCGCGAGCTGGAGTTGGGCAAGACATTCATTGATTTAATTCAAAAACATGCAATTCGTCTCATTCTAGACGAGTAGATGCTTCATAGACCAGAACGGTCTCACAATAAAATACAGCTTGGGAAGATCATTGCCATGCCACGTCCAGTGTTTGACTTATGACTGGCACATAGGTTTGTACAAGTCCTGCACGTATCCTAGTTCACTCCGCAAGCTCCAACAGGAGAGCAATAGCCCGAGCAGCATTCGCCGTTCTGTCTGCAGGCTGTGATTCGCGCTCACGTTAGTAACGAGTAAAACATGGACCAGAATTGCTCCGAGATATCTGAATAGATCGCATGATGACTTACTGTCTCCAAATTTCTTCTTTCCAACACACGAGACAACTGGGCCACGACGGGCCTCGAGCTTTGCAGGGACTGGCTCATTTTGAATGCCCGCCGGGACAGCCGCAGCGATGGTCGCGAAGAGGAAAAGAGCGTTGATAAACTTCATTTTTATGTTGGTGAAAGAAACTGGGTTCTCTTTGTTGTGCGCTCTGGGTCAAGGATGAGAAAGAAAAGCTTGGGTGACATGGCAGCGTTTCAATGCTGAACAAGTGATCAAGAGGCTAGATTTATAGATTTCATGGTCCTTTGCAACGACGCGTCACCATTGGATACGATTCATTGCAATCTCAATTGCGGCAGAACATGCCTAGCTGAAGGAAATGATTCATGTTCAAAAACCTTCGTAGATTAATTTTGACCGCCTATCGTGGACCTGAAGGCTGTAGTTGCGATTGACCTCCACGTCGATTTAGCCGATGATACAGCATTACGGCAGTTTCCAAATGCCTGCGTATACTCCGCGCGCATAGGACTGATCCCATGCAAGTAAGAGCGAACAGCCGCCGGCGATGTTCCAGACAAATATGTAAGTCGCCGCCGGACATTGGCGCGCCCTAATATTACCGGAGATGCGCCCTAGTCAAATCGCTTCCATGCCAGAGTGTTTTACTTGACATCTGCACATCAATTGACTCTCCTTACACGACGTTGGCATAGCCTCGATACGAATACTCGTCTTTCAACCACCAATACAAAAACATCCGAATGTGGGAACTGTAAAACTCTAGGCGCCGGACGCTAAGGTTTGATATAGTCGCTGTAGAAAAAGACCTAGATCTGTTGTCTAGCGCATTTATCCAACAAGCTTTCATTTAGTTAAAGTATATGCGGGCAATCATAGAGTTCGACTAATCAACTTGTATTCTTCCGGTCCCCATAACTCGATGTTGTTCTCCAGTTTCCTGTTCCAGGTTGTTGCAGAAATGGCTTATAGTTCCCACGGCCCCCGAATAAGGACGGGATTTGAATTGCGCGGCCAAGATTCTTGGATCACCGGGTGATCTGCTCTCACATCTGCCGGAAGGCTGCCGGAAAGACCCATAGTCTCGGTGTTCGATTTCATCGATCATAGGTAAAGTCGCTCGCTGAGTTCCTTCAATAAGCACACCCTCACACATCATTCTCAGATGACTTTTAGCAAACATTCAGCAACAAGAACGGCTCATCTGGGAATTCTGGGTAACGCAAGAGTCGTATCTCACCTGATAAATTGAGTGAAGGTCTATTTTGAAGACAATGAGTACGCACAGTGGAGCTTCTGGTCCGTTCTGTGCGCCAGTTCGTCCTGTAGATCAAGGTTTGGGGACCACATCAGCTTTGCAGATCACAAGCTTTATTCAGAAGGAACCGGATGCTTCTTACCCCGCACGCGCATTCAATTTCCCTGGTCTTTTTGTCTGGTCAAGCCGATTGGCGCCCGTCGGCAACATTGATTGGCACAGGACGAGGACTACCATGAACCCTGTCAAACCTGCGCGACTACATTAGGTGTTGCTGATTTTCAAACCTAGACAGCAGGAGAAATCACGAATTTCAACATCAGGAAGAAAGTATAGTAGCGAGCACTCCATGCCTTCGATACGTGTGAGCTGAAGACACAATACACACAAGATGTCTTCCTTGTAAGCTGAGTATGGTCCGGGCGAGGGGAAATTGTGTTGTAATTTATCAAACGTCTGCGAGAGAACTGCGGAAAAATACTACTAGATCAACTTGAAACCAATTAAGCCCTACCCCCTAATCTTCTTTGGCCTACCCGCCACACCTCGTCCTGCTTGGCATATATTGACATGTTGGATCTGCTTTAGATGGTTGCTTTCTGCACCCCCTTTCTCACAAATACACCGGAAGTTGGGCCTGCGGTACGCGCAAGTCTTTCCCCGGGATATGTTGCTCAGGTGTCTTCGATAATGATCCTTGCGAGGGGTTGAGTAATCACATCGACAATCGTATGACTTGGTTGCTTCTTCGGTATGAGCCTTCGAACGATAATGTCGCCGGAGATCTTTCGGGCTAGCAAAAGACCGGGTGCAACCCATTTTGCATGCATATCTCTGCTTGTGGTTGACTTCTGGAACCAGAGCTGGGCGTGGTGTCCTTGAAACATACTGTGGTCTGATGGGTGCTAGCGAAGTACTCGACGATAGCAGGAGCTCGTGCTGACCTGAGCTGTCGTCAGACGGCGCAACTGTAGTGATCATGCTCATTTCCTGCCTCCATCTATCAAAGCATTCTGCGGCCGCGGGCGTGAATTGAGAGTAGTGAAATAACGGCGATGCGGGTGTTGTGGGAAAAGTCGGCATCTCTAGATCATTTCCCAAGACATCCAAGCATCTCGAAATGGACCAATCATCCGCCAGAAATGACGAAAGTTCTGACTCGTTGTTCCGCTGCGTACTTGCAATCGATGAAGACACGATATCAACACTCGTCAATTGTTCCTTTGTCGAAAGGTCATCGCTTGCAAGGGTGGCTGCGCGGTCGACCGAGAATGTGGCTTGCAATAGCACATTCTCGGGAAGCTTTACAGGTATGGTTGGACATAGTGAATGATTGAAATGGAAATCAAAGTTAAAACAAAGATCGGGGCTTTCGTAGAAGTGTGTGGGAGAGGCAGGGGTTTGCAAGTCGGGTTCTTGACTGGGCGGAATGTGACAAGCGCGGGGTACCAAGACCCCCGCCGTTCAACGTTGCCACGAGAGATCTGCAGGGCGCTGAGAGCCTGCTGCTTTTCCGGGAGAAA